AGTAGGAGACAGCTCACAGGCCCTCCACGATAGTTCTCAAACAAGGCCAATTTGGGTCCATGAAGAAGTGTGAATTTACTTCAAACAATATCACACACGCGCTTGCACATGCACGTCCACACACACACACACACACACACACACACACACACACAGGCATTGAGGCACAGTTCCCCTCTGCCAGCCCCTCATCTCTGCTACAACCATCATTTCCATCAGAGGGACTGTCATCCCCGTGACGGAATCATCATTGCCACCAATGATGGCATCTTAGACCTTGACGTTGGGACAGAGTAACAGACTCCCAAGAGGCAGGAAGAAGCCCTACAGATAATCACTCTCTGCTAATCCCTGCTGGCCCCCTCTTGGGACTGCTGTTGCCTCCCTAGCACTCTGGCCGTGGGGCTGCCCAGCCTGGCTTCTCCCCTTAGAGACCTGACGTGCATGGCACCTTCCAAGCGTGCAGCAGGTGGGACGACAGAACGGCATTTCCATTGGCTGTTGGAGCCTCCTCCCCTCCTGAGCAGCTCTGCAATGTTGCATGTTAATCCCATTTCTGCTCCGTGGGAGTCACCTTGATCCAGTCTTACTTCCCTTTCACCAACACCTTGCCAAATACTTGCTCCTTGAAATCTTTCTCCCGGCTAAACACCCCAGACGTCTTTTTAAACCTCACAAAACATCATTTTCACTATTCTCATCTCTGGGCTGTCTTCGGCTCTACTGTCGGTTCTTCATAAACTGTGGAACTCAGAAGAGAGAACTGGGGTTTGACGGGGTCTGAGCAGCTCCCTCCTGGACATGATCCTCCTATCTACACAGCTAGAGAGCCAACCTCGATTTTTTAATTTCTGATAACTGTATCACCCCTAAGTCTTATTTCACACAAGTTCCTGCCAAGCCACGAAGCCACAGGTATCCTTTAGAAATGTCATCTGGTTGGTTTAGTCTGACCTGCTGAAATCGTTTTGGACCCTGATCCATTCACGTATCCATTCTCCCTCCCAAATCTGCCACCTGCAAACTAGAGAAGCCTGCCGTCAATACCATTCTTCTTCCAAACCCCACAACGCGGAGGAGGACACGGCCAAGTGTGTGACTGCAGACACGCATCCCCTAGAGTGACCATGATCCGTGAACAGCACTCTTGGCCACTCAGCGCAGGTGTGTCACTTAGCCCACATTTCTTCATCTTCCCTCGGAAGGATCTCATGGGCAACCGACAAATGGGGCTAACAACCCCCGTCTTCTTACCAGTGGTGGTGAAGATTAACCGTAAAGGTCTTAGAGCAGGGCATTGCACAGAGTGAGCAATCAAATGTTGCTTTTATAATTGACAGGAAACACAATTAAAAAAAAAAAAAAACAAAAAACACCCAACCACCTGGTTTTCCAATTTTCAAACTACCACCTTTTTTTTTTTTTTTAAAGATTTTATTTATTTATTTGACAGAGAGACACAGAGAGAGAGGGAACACAAGCAGGGTAAGTGGGAGAGGGAGAAGCAGGCTTCCCGCTGAGCAGGGAACCCGATGCAGGGCTCGATTCCAGGACTCTGGAGTCATGACCTGAGCCGAAGGCAGACCCTTAACTGACTGAGCCACCCAGGCGCACCCCCAAACTACCACCTTATTGGCAACCAAATACAGACAGTAGGCAGCTGACATCAAGAGAAGGAGCACTGGAGTCCAGGAGCTGGAGTGTCAACCCCGGCTCTCCTTCCAGAATTTCCATGCTCAGGGGTTAACAATACTTGCCCTCCCAGGGTTATAAGGAGGAGTCAATGAGATCAGGCATGTAAAAAAAGGTTTAAAAGTTGAGTCAGGCTATGCCAACATAAAAGAAGAGTTTTATGATTATTGCCGTTATAAATAACCCAGATTCCCCCCTCCACTGGCAGAAACCCGCCTGCTAAACCTAGGAGGAACCAGCAGCAGCATTCAGGCTGCCGGAAGCTGGCTGTTCGGCACAGAGCAGCTGGACTGCTGCAAGGGAGCAGACGCCTGACCTCCTCTCGGGGCAGCAATCCCCTTCTTCCTCGTCTCCGACCAAAATCCAGGCTGGCTCACAAAGGGTAATGGATCCTCCCCATCAGCCCGCAGGAACACGTCATCTCTCCATGGTCCTGCTGTCGAGACCCGAACTCGAGTCGTCCGCAGCAAGAACCCAGTGCGCAATGAAGGGCTGGGAGGGCTGCTCCTAGCTCCTAGCTCTCCTCTCCTAGCTTCCCTGTGGCTTGAGCAAGCATGACCACAACTCATCCGTGGGTTTCTGAGTGGGGCGGCAGTTTCCAAGAACACCAAGCTTTCGTCTCTGCCATTCTCCAGGTGTGCCCCCGGGAACCCCACTCTTGCCTTGGTTGAGGGTGGGTACCTTCTGAGGGAACAAATGTCCTTTACGGAAGAAAAAGAACTTGGGGGAAATTTTGTGTGAAGGGCTATCAGGGGGCCACCTGATGGCTCCTAGCATCTCCGGGTCAAAGATGTCCCACAGCAAGGGAAGAGGGAAGGAGATGGACGGCCACCCACAGGCCCCTGGGAAAAGAGCAGCTGTTGAAATGGGAGACATAACTGGCTAAATTTTCCTCTCCTAGCCCATGTGAGGCTGGGTTCCCAACTTCCAGAGGGAATGAACACTGAGGGCAGATTTAAATATATATACATAATTGTTGGCAAGACACCGAGAGGATCACGCCAACGAATCTATTCACAGTTCAGGGAGTCTGCCCAGAAAGGCACCGGGAGGAAGAGGCCCAGAAGGGAAGGTAACACTTTGTCAGATGATTTCTGGGGCCCAATGGTCTACCAGCTACCCCTGCTCAGCCCACCCCTACAACAGCCTTCCTCAAAGCAGGTGAGCTGCTGAAATCATCAAAAAATCATCACAGGACACATGAAAGCTTACTCAGACGTCCACCGCCACTGGTGACTTCTTGTGCCTTTGAACATATTTTGTCTTTTTCTCATTGTGTTCCCTTTGACTGTGCACCCACACAGAGAGACGGTGCCTGGTTCTCTACACTCATATGTGCAGAACAAGGCACAGATGAACCTCGACATCTTGCTGGTGCGGCAGTGCTCCGACGCAGCTAAGGAACAGAGCTACGGTGGGACCAGGCTCAGTGCACCGGCGTTGTGGGCTGAATTACGTCGCCCCCAAATCCGTATGTTGAAGTCCGATTCCCAGTCTCTCGGAATGTGACTGGATGAATGGGCAGATAAGGCCTTCACAGAGGTGATTAAGTTAAAAATGAGGCCAGTGGGGGTGGGCTCTATTGCAGGAGGTCTGGAGCCCTTTGATACAAGAGGGACAACCTGATGAGGAGACAGCAAGAAGACAGCCATCCGCAAGCCAAGGACGGAGGCCTCCGGAGAAACCGAGCCTGCAGCACCTTCATCTTGGGACTTCCAGCCTCCACAACTGTGAAAAAATAAATTTCTGTGGTTTAAGCCACCTGGTCTGTGGTACGTTGTTATGACAGCCCTAGCAAATTCATGCAACTGATTTACCTAAAAACCCTCGCTGTTTGCCAGATTGGAGACAAAGAGGAGAGGACAGAGGACAGAGTCCTAAGCTCGGACATGCTGTGGAGCAAATGGAGCTTCTTCTTAGTCTGAGACGTGCCACTTTGATGGCAAATTGTAGCAAGGTCAAAGTGGGGACAGTCTACTGGTCACCGAGGACTGCCAAATCCTGCCTTCCCCGGCGGCCCGAGGCTGAGGTAGTCCAGAGGGCCACAAGAGTCTGGGATGAAAGAAGGTGACTAAGCCGCCGCCGAGGAGTAACCAACTCTGCCTAATCTATGTGTCACTGCTATTGTTCCAGAAAAGGAGAAGACCTTGGGGATGAGTGAGCCAGCAAGTGAGGTGGCCACCTGCAAACTCTCATAGGTTTGACAAACCAACTCAAATCTGGCCCAACTGCTGCCTTTGGCATTGGGAACCGGCAATCTCCCAGTCTGCCTGGATGCCTTGGCCCTCCCGCAGCCTCCAGGACCCTGCCAGACCCTGGGCTTCCCACCGAGTCTGGGGCCCAGCCGAACCACTCCCTGGGGGCCAGGAGTGGACCCCCAGAGGGACCCACAAATGCTTGCTGCTGCTAAGGGGCCCAGACACACCCAGCAATTATCCATCCAACCACAGCTCTCTCCAGGAGGGCGGCAAGGATCAAAGCAAAGAAGGAGGGTATTTGAAAGGTATTGGCGGGCGGATGTCTGGAGGGCCTGGGAGGGGCGGCGTGCTCTGAGAGGTGGACAAAGGGCTGTGCCTTCACTCTCTCGAGGATGCCAGGGTGGGCGGGACTGGCTAATTCAAATGCAAAAGCCTCAGGGCAGGAAGACTGGGAAACCTTTCCATTCTCCAGCTCCATCCGAAAGGCCTATAGGTTCTCTCCAGGTCCCTTCATTCACTCTGGCTGTGAGGTTGTTTAGCCGGAGGAGTGGGAGCCCCCATAATCACCACTATCTGAGAGCACACAAACCAACACACACTTTGGGCCCCTTCAAAAGGCGAGCCTCAAGTCCTCCCGCAACCCCACAACCTCAGTACAGGAGGAAGAAGAGGGAAGTGTCGTAGGGACCGCATCCTTGGGGGTGGATTAGAATCACGCGGGAACAAAGGGGATCCTCACTTCTGCAGTGTGGTTCCTGGGGTTGGATGGGCAACGGGGAGGGGAAGGTCCGACAAGGGGCAAGCCTGGCCCTTCAGCCTCTTTCTGCTGGGACCCAAGGGCTTCTCTTGTCCTTCACCAGCTTGGCGGGGCTACTGTGAGGAAGCAGAGGGCACGCTCTCAATTAAGAGAGCGGAAGCCGGACAGCCTCATCATCGTTGTCTGCAAGGTGAGAGGAGGACAAACAAACCAAACCAAACCAAACCAAACCAAACCAAACCAAACCACCACCAAGAAAACTGCACTCTGCTACAGATTAGAGAAACGTGGAGAAGAACAAGAAATCGGCTCCTGGCCTTGCTCAGCAGTTACAATGACGCTGCGTTTACTACCTTGGAAATTTCCGCCTCAACCATCCATTCTCATTTGCGTGTGCGAGTCGCTGATGGTAGGTGTGGGCCTGTCTGCGAGGGACCCACAGACCTGCAGCAGGGCCGACTTCCCACTTCGAAGGCCTTTCGCACGGCCCACACGATGTTTACTGTTTCCTCCCTCCCTCCCGATTTGTTCCTTTAAAAATATTTAGCCCGAGGCACAATGAATTGTCTCCTTTACAAGCGTTCCCGTGGACCATTAGGCTGGGACTCCGCACTCATTACGCTGGAGAAGGTGCTACTCCCCATGCAAATTCCAGGAGCCTCCGACCCAGAGATGGGAGGTGCTCAAGGTACGCTATCAAGGGGTGATTTAATTACACAGCCATTCAGTGGGCAAAGCAGAGCGATTTCCAGCCAACTGTGCTAGTAAATATTATGGAAGCCCTTTCAGAGAGTTCATTCCGGCTTAGTGATCTCAAGCGTGCCCAGATTTCCTCTTCATTTCTGCACATACACCCCCCCCACAAAGGTGCCACCGGTAGGTGCTACCCACCCCCTGCCGGGGCCAGAAGATCCAATGGATAATGAATTAGCTGGGATGCCACCTCGCCGTCGATTATGACTCTTTTTTTTACGTCACGAACACCTGAGGATCACAGACACGCAGAGGAGGACAAACTTTGCTAGCCATGAACTTTCCAGCGGCCGCCCCCGCCCCCTGCCTGGGCCCCCAGCTCTTGGTGGGTCCCGCCGGGTGGCTTCTGGGCGAGCTGCGGTAGCCAGCGGACCCGCTCCCGTGGGTGGGACAGCACAGCCACCACAAACCCACTCGGCCCGTGTGAAACAACACCCAATCACTGCATCCACCCTCCCAGAGCGCCCCAGAGGAAATGGCATCATGACTTTCATTTTGCTCCGTTTCTGACCGACCCAAGGAAAACAACTCGTCCTAAGACAATCCTCGGGGTATCCGATGTCAGGGGCTGGGCGGGACGCTACGGAATGTTATCAAGTGACCTCGAGGTGAAATTAATTTTCAGGAGCTAAAATAACCGCCGGCTGCCCAGGCACGGCCAGTTTCCCTCCCTGCAGACGCGGATTTTCACTTTCCCCAGCCGGAACAGAACACACTCCTGCATCCCCGTTTCTTCAGAAAAGTCTATAAATAACCGAGGATCAGCAAAATTATGCAAAACACCCTGCTAGGAGAAGAAATGTAAACTAAAACCACTTACAGAGAGACTCAGGCTGCCAACTTAATCTGATTCTACGACGACTGTAAACATGTTGTACTTTTGGAACCTGAAGAGATCCACATTAGCACGGATGCCATCGCAAAAAAAAAGAAAAAAGAAAAGAAAAAAGAAAAAACAAAACAAAACAACAACAGCTAAACAACAAAAACCCACCCCTGAAACCGAGCAGCACGGTCCGGCGCCCTGCACCGTCCGGACCCGCGGTGACCAGCTGCGGCAGCAGCAGCGAGCCCGGCTTGCACACGCCAACTGTTTTGACTACGGGCACTTGTTAAACACAGAGTTTCAGGTCCTACCAGTTGGACACCAGAAGTTCATAGAACTGACCCGGTGCCAAGAACAACAAGCACAGAAAGCGAAACGGCTGCCTCGTGTGCCGTGTTTTTGTTAACTGTATATGCAAGCCCCAAAGCGATTGGGGAACAATTACGAATAAAGCAGAACTTAAAGAACAAAAGCAAAAGATTACCACCTTGAAGGAAATGGAGATGTTGGCAGATAAAGGACAGACGTCAACCTAGTTTATCGGTGGGGTGGGTGGGTGGTTTTCGGAGAGAATCAGTGGGGGGGGGGGGGGGGGCAGGTGTCACATGACGAACTGCCGTTATTAGGAGGAACCCGGTGCTTCCTCGAAGCATCTTTTACTTTGAGATCGACTTAAGAGATCTCGCAAATGCTGAGGCCTCAGTGCACATCTGGGGGTGACTGCAGAGGCCCTGGAATTTGGAAGTTGGCAAATCCCATAGGAGGAGAAAGGGCGTGCTGAACAGAGATTTCAAGACACAGGAAAGGGACTTCCAAGCGTCCTGCTCCGTGATGTGAGATCACCGAGCCACTCAGGAAGCAGACGCAAGGGCCTGCGTCCCTGGGTTGTTTCTGTCCTGGTCCTGAGAAAGGTTTCCCTGCCCTCTTCGGGTTTAGGGTTGCTGGGGTCAAGCTTTCGCCTTCATCTGGGACCGCACTCTGTGTTCTTTAGGTGACAGTGAATAAAGTATTTTCATCTGGCAAAATAAAATAAAAAGGAATGTTTACATCGCCTGTTTAACCAGGATTTCCATTTCTTCTCCAGAATGCATTCAGCACCATCTCAGGTGAGGAACAAGACAAGAGAATTAACCAGATTGTCTGAGGATTTGAAAAAGTGAATTCCAAGAGAACTGGGGTATAGATGTAAGAGTGAGGAATTTTAAATTGCTGAGTGGACTCAAGCCCTCCTCCCATTATCTAGCTATCTATCTATCTATCATCTACCATCTATCTCTTTATCTAAGGAGATTTCAAAATGTAGCAAGCAAGCCTAGCTAAAACAATCTCTTTTTAAAACGGGCTTGGGAGGCCGTAAGGGAAGGGGAATATTTGCACGTCCTTATTGTAGGAGCCAAGAACTTTTGAAAAAGGCTTCTAGCCAGCGGCAAGCCCTCAGCCGGGACCTAACTTCCTCCTCAAGACACCTGAATCATCCTCACTCTTCATCTCAGAAAGAGCCCATGCAATTAACATGGTTCAGTACCTTATTTGTATATTAACCTGACCAATCCCAGTTAGCCTAGTTTCAATGCCTCCTTTGCACAGAGGACCTGAATGAGGACGCACACCTAGCCCTGCCCCTTCTTTGTCTTCCTTAGGACCCAGTCGCGGTTTCTACCTGAATCTGTGTCTCCTCAATTCCAACTCTAGCGGCACAAGTGAATACCCGTTGGCTTAAATTTTCATGACTTCTTTCTTGGTCCACACTATTTATCTATCATCCATCATCTACCTTCGATCCGAAGAATCCAGTGTTGCCACTTTCCCACTCCAGAGAGTTAGGAAAAAGCAATGAGTAAGTAGTAACAGGTTGTTGGGATAACCACTGTGACTTAGGCCAGATTCGTGTTTATTCTGGAGAGTAAATGTTGTTCCTCTGGTTCCGGGGGTCAGCAGTGTGATGGCGGACACGAGCCCACTTGGTGGCTACGAGCCCACATTTTATTGCAAACTAGATATAGAAATAGTTTCGCTGTGATCTGAAATGGAGCCCTCCCCCACCACCCCCTGGAGCGAAACACAGCAGCTGCCCGACAGATCAAGAGAGAAGAGCAAAGGCGTCCACGACAAAGGAAGGAGCTGAGGAGGAAGACGGCTGGGGGTGGGGGAGGGGAGAATGGGGGAAGGGCTTCTGTGGGAGAGAAGGATCCGGTCGGGCCCAGGGGGTTTCCAACCACCTCTGGGCTCTGGGTTGGCAACTGACTCTAGAGAGTGACCCCAGAACTTTTGCGAGGCGTGCCCTCCACGTAGAGCGCCATGGTTTACGGGTCCCCTTCAAGCTCATTATGTTATTTGCCCCTCAGAGACATCCTGAATGGGCAGGTCCCGAGCAACGAAGGAAGCAAGCTGAGGCCCAGCGAGGCCTCTGTCTCAGCCCCACCCGCGAGAAGACTCGCGTGCCGCGCTGGCCTGGTGCTTTCTATTCACAGAGCACTTGAAAAGGGGCAGGGTTTATCCTTCCCATGTCCAAACAAGTACACCGAGATTCTGGGGAGGCCACAGGTCATGTCCAAGGCCACATTGCAAATAATATGCAGCATTGGGTCTCCTAATTGCTCATCCATCCTTTCTTGCTTACCTTTACCATGTTCCCAGAACACTTAATGATTGACCCAAAAAGGCCACCAACGTGGCTGTATTTTAAGAGCACATCATCTCTAGGTTCTTCTCAGAACTGTGTGCACAGCTCTTTGGCAGCCGTTCACAGTGCCGCTCCCCAGCGCAAGGGGTGCCTCTCCACGCCTGTGAGCTTCAAACATCTGGACAGCAGAGCTCGTAAGTCAATGGGAAGCCACCATCTCCGCCCCGTGAGAACCCTGTCCTTCTTCGTCCGCTTACTACTCCCACGTGCTAACCCCTGGCTCTTCCCCTAATCCTCATCTAAGGAGAAGGCCCAGCAGAACGTCCCAGCAGGCCTGCCAAGCTGAACATTAGGGAGTCTGCATTTCCAAGGTGTGCTGTCTCCAATGTAGGAGGGATTGGGCTCAGCCTACGGTTTGGTGGATGTCTTCTTCACGGGTGTGTTTCCGGGCTATGCTTCTGCTGAGTTCTGTAGCAGCAGAGGCCACTGAAAATATTGGATCAAATGGAGGGTCCCACTATCGTGTTCCTGGTCTGTGCTGAGTGGACACGCTCACAGCCTGATAGAAAATGGTATCGCTATTGTGTGATACACCGTGAGCGAGTTTATTGCAGATTTGGGGCACTTCCTCTGAGGGAACATGGTAGTGAGTTCCTGCAAATGGCCACAGGGTTTGTGGGGGAGAATGGAGATATGTGTCGGGAATCCAAGAGCTCAGGGACATGATCAGTGATGCCAAACGTGGAGGGCAGAGGGAAGACAGTCCGGAGGCAAAGACTGCAGAGTTCTAGAGTGTTTGGCCACTGCCTTATGAATCCACCTCTCCCCCTCTTTTCTCCCCCCAAACCCAACAAGAAAACATAGAAGCAAAAGCCAGAGGAGCTGGGGGTCAAGGCAGACTTTATGTTCAAAGTGCCTACGCAGCCTAGCTGGTGAGGACTGATCAAATGCAGGTTTTGTTGGCTGCAGAGGCTCTATGGTCAGAGGAATGCACAGGTGGCACCTCTCACTGGTTTATTTGAGGTTGTTTTGGTTTGGTGACCACAGGACATTTGCATCTATGCTCCCTGAAAAGAATACAGGGCCTGGGTAAATGAGAACAGTCTTGGTAGGAAAACTCATTTGCTTACAAGATAAAAAGCGAGTAGAGTACTTCCACATAACTTGTGGCTCTTGTGAGCAGAGAGACCACTTTTTTAAAATCCCAAAATGGAACACATGGTTCAGCAGGCACTGGTATATTTAGGGAAGACAGGGTAGGCTATTTAAAATCAGCAACTTCTGAAAATCCTTGAGGCATGACCACCCGATCTGTACGATCACATTAGTAAAAGTGGGCTAGGAGCGGGCTGTGGAATATTAGCAGAAACTTGTAGTTAGTATCCGTGTGCTCCACAAAGCGAGTTCTACCACAAACAGACAAACAGTACTCTGTCGGTGGATATGGTGGTTTGGGGAAGGCAGGTGAGGACAATACATCCAGGCCCCTGAGGACGATGGCAGAGGGTGAGACAGAGCTGAGGCCCTGGACCCACTCTCTGGGTGTCGAGACTCCCCCTAGTGAAGGCAGCTGCCTCAGAGTTCATCCACACAGGAGGAAGCTGGTCAGGGACCAGCAAGGTCTTCAAAACATAGCCCGGACATGTGGAAAGCTGACCAGGAAAAGGACGGAGCCAAAAAAAAGGACAGAGGCCTGAGGTGTCAGGGGACAGAAAGCCAAGGTAAGCGCGTCAGCAGCTGTGGCCACGGATTTGGCTTCTCGTCCCTTGGGTTCTTGTCCCTGATGCTCCCTGCACACTTTCAGGTCAGAACCTGTGGCCCAGCTCCATGCTCTTCCCTTCTGCCTGGATTCACAGGGGCTGAGCCAGCCTTCCAGATCTTACCTGGCACTGGCTTTTGGCTTAATCCTTGGTGATGTGGACTCATGATCAAAGCCACGGGCCAGTGGTATCCACATGCAGGCTACATACCCTGGGCTTTTGGGAGAGTATCAGTTTCTGCCAGCCTGAGTGCTATGGCACCACAATTTGCAAAGTGGCTTTAAATGTGGGTTGACTGGGCTCGGACCACCGGGCTGTAAGTTCCTTGAAGGCTCCAATTCCGAGCCTCGTTTATTTTGAAGGCTGACACCTCGCCAAGCACAGAAGCCTTGCTGTGAGTTTTTAATACGTGTTTTGAATGAATGATCGAAATTCCTCGTAACGTACACCACAAAGATACATGGATACCTCACTGGGCAGCAGCAGGGCTGCGTTGTGAATGACCAGACCCGGGCTCCCGTGTACGAGGTTACCGGGCAAGCCGCTGACCCTACTCTAGGCAGTTTGCAATGCTGTAGCCTGGCTTTCCGCTCCCGGCTGAGCTGCCCTTTGCCCTGTTGTCGACTAGCTCTTCCTGGTCAATACGTCAAATGTCGGTGCACTTTCCACCCAAATGCAAAGAAGACAAACTAATCAATAAATGAACCTCCCCCTGTAGGGGTTTTGAAAAGTGTGCGTGCGAGTGTGCGTGCATGGCTACATTAAGAGTAGAGAGCTTGGGGCGCCTGGGTGGCTCAGTGGGTTAAAGCCTCTGCCTTCGGCTCGGGTCATGATCCCGAGGTCCTGGGATAGAGCCCCGCGTCGGGCTCTCTGCTCAGCAGGAAGTCTGCTTGCCTCTCTCTGTGTCTCTGCCTGCCTCTCTGCCTACTTGTGGCCTCTGTCTGTCAAATAAAAAAAAATCTTAAAAAAAATTAAAAAAAAAAAAAAGAGTAGAGAGCTTTTTTTTTTCCCCTTTGAGAATGGGTATCTTACATTGATTTTTAAAAATTAAAGCAAAAGGGGTAGATACTGTGCGCCCAACCAAACCTAAATAACAAGCAATCGGGCCCTGGGTAGGTAAATTACTGAGCCCGCTACTCCGTGGAATGCTGGGAAGCTATAAAAGTGATGATGTAGATCTATATTCACTGAA